TTCAAATGCCTGAACCCCGCCTCCCGTCATCAATTCAGCGGTGTCAGACACCCCTGTCCCTGGGAGGAAACACTACAACTGCTTTACCATGTCATTAAGGTGTGGGCTGCAGGACAGGGCCGCCCTATGTGCGAGAGTGTCCGTGGAGCTGTGTTGGGGGGAGGGCTTACTTGAGAGAGGTTGTCAGGTTGGAACGTGGAGCCGAAGGGGACAGCCTTCTCACCTTTGTTGGGACTGCGGTGGGGGCTGGGTGTGTGGGGTAGAAGAAGGAAGAGACAAACCACCTCAGGCTGGTCCCCCAACACCTCCCGCGGTTCCGTTTGGGGTCTGGCCAGACATCCTTGTGGAATTTTCAAGGGCTCCCAGAATTCCTCAAGGGATGAAGTGGGATTGAGATGGAGGAAGGGCACAGGGCTGGGGTCCAGGACCTTGGAGTCACTTGTCGGTGCCATTTCCCGTGTCTGACAAAGGGATGGGCCCTCTCTCGCTCACCCAGGCCACTGGGATGTTTGCCTTGACCCAAGTAGTTTAAGGTAATCCTTTGTTTTCCCATCTCCATTTTTACATGTTTCCCTCTAAACCACAAACTCCTGGAGAGGAGAATTGTTTTATGTTTAACCTTCATGTCTTCATCTCTGGGCCCAGTGCTTGGCACAAAGTAGGTAGCCATTAAATATTTCTCAAATAAACAAATAAATGGTGCCTGGGCATAGGTGCCCTCTGGTGGAGTCAGAGTATGTGTCCTAGGTCTTGGCTGCAAGTCAACTGGGAGGGAGGTGTCCTGGCCCCCTGGTTCTGGGCAGCTTGCCCAAGTGTGAGGTCACGTGGGAGCCGGGGTAAGCACAGTGTGTCTACCCCACAACCCAGTCCCTGGACAAAGTCTTATGGGAAGGACAGGCTGGACTTTTGAAAGATGTGGCTATCGTAGGATATTGAGGGGCAAGTGGGAGAGGGGCACCCAAGGCGCAGAAGGAACAGGAGGGAAGAGCTGCAAGAAGTCTGAGCTGACATGCAGAAGGTGGCGGCCTGCAGGAGGCAGCCGTCAACGACTCCCTCATCACTGATGTTTCTCTCTCTCTCTTCCTCTCCCTTCCTCTCTCTGAAATCAATAAAAACATATATATATTTTTTTAAATGATGTTTACAGGGGAGGGTGGGGAAGGAAGCTTCTGACCTTGCGAGGGCTTGGGAGTTGGGGTCATCCCCAGAATGTCAGAAACTCACATGTTCAAGCTCAAGGGTAGATGTGGCTCCTGAAGCCAAATGCGAGGTTTTTGAACTGCCTGCCTGCTGGTTCACCCGAGCCTCGGCCAGCACAGCGGCAAGAGCTGACGGACTGTCCCCCGAACGGAAGGAGAAGGAAGCAGAGGGGCGGGGAGGCGGAAGGCAGGGGAGCAGGGGTTCCCTGGGAAGTTTCACATTTTGGATTCCCAGTGGCCCAACTTCCACTTCCTTCTCTGCTCTCGGTTGGCAGCTTGGGCACCTCCCATGGCCTCTCAAAGCCGCTCTCCCCTGCCCTGCGAGGTCCCTGCAGAGCCCCGGAACGGGGTCCGAAGTTTGGGGGCTACCAGGGACACGCGTATTAAACATCACGGGCGGGTAAGGTGTCTCATATCTCCTGAGCTGTGAGGAGTAGAAATTGAGGCAGGCACATGGCACAGTTCAGTAAACCACAGCTTAGTGACCTGAACGAAGTCACATCTCTGCCTGCCTGCAGAGCTTCCTGTGAAGTGGGCTGCATCCGGAGAAGTGTTTGCATTTCACAGGGGGGCGAACCAACTGGACAGGGGCGCACCAGCAGCTAGGGTGCAGCTCGGGGCCAGGACGCAGGGCCGGACCTCCCAGCTCTGCCCCTGTTGTCACCGTGAGAGGTCCTCCCAGGCCTCCCCTCACCCACCTCCTGCCCCCTGTCCTGCTCCCTGGAGGGATCCCAGGGTGTTACCCCTGACTCAGGAGGAGGCAGCTCCCCTAGACTCCACTATCTCTGGGTGCCCCTGGCGAGCTGGGAGACAGGGGCGATACCACTCCTGCTTTTCATTCCAGGTGTGCCCACCTCTGGTCTCTGCTGGAACCTGGTTGTCACTGAGGAACTTAGGTGGAGGGCAGGAATCCGATGTGCTCAGTTGGACTTGAACGTGCTCTCACCACTCTAAGTTTACCCCTTTCTTCTCCCTCAGGGTGGAGTTCGGCGAGAGGAGACAGAGGCGGGGATGCCCTGGCCTTCCCTGTATCTATCTGCCATTCTGGCTCCCTCTCCCCTGAAAGTGCAGTGGGCACATGAGCCTGGGGCTGTGGGGGCCCCGTGTGGCCCCCGCTTTTGTGGAGTCTTAAAGTCTTACCAAGAGAAGGGAGGCAGTGTAAGTGATTAAATACAGAAATAAACGTTGCAGGGGACAAGGGCGCAGGGGTAGGGGAGAGGGCTCAGGGAGGCCTGGAGAAAGCAAGGGCGTCTTCTGAGGAGATGGCCTGAAGGGCCTGCCCCAGTGCCTGGGATATTGAAGAGCCCCAAGACCGTTTCTCCAGGTAGAGTCAGGAACGGGCCCATGACTGGTGGGGTGCTCCCCTCCGGAGCTGCCCCCATGGGTGCAGCTCCCCAGGCCCCCATCAGAGCAGGTCTCAATCTGGTTCCCCTGTCCGGGGTGGATGGTGGGGGCCCTTGGGGCTCTGGCTGGGACTGCTATCCATCTGCTCACCCACAGTTTCCTCTTCCTCTCCATCTGCACCACAGCCTACCCAGGACCCGGAGGGAGAACATGTTACAGGCCATCATGACCAGCTGGCTGTGGCCTGAGTGCTGCACCAGAGCAAGGGGTTTTCAAGTTGTCTTAAACGTCCAGCCATGCTGGGGTAGCTTCCCCAGACACAGGCAGGAGGGCGGGGTGTGGGCAGTCCCCAGCGTCTAGAGAGAGGCAGACAGGCCAGATGGGAGCAGGGCCAGGCCATCGACGCTGGTCTCCCCAGGCTCCTGGGGAGGGAAACCAGGTCTCAGCACTCTGTCCCTCTTCCCTGCCGCCCCTCCCCCAACTACTTCTCATTCACTGGGTTCATTTGCCTTATGGATCATGCAGTTATTAATCCCCGAGTCCTGTCCATTCAACCAGAACCAAAGCACTTGGCTGGTAGTAGGTGTTCTCAGCAACGGCTCCAGCAACTGTTAAGCTCTTTTCACTGCAGCCTCATGTGGCTATTCCCACTCCACTGCTGGGGCTGGAATGCAGCTTCGTGACCTTTAGGCCACACTCGAGCCCCTCAGGGAGGAAAAGGCAGAGTGAGCTGTGGGGAGCCACCGATTGCCGTGGAGAGAGAGCAGCTCTAACTTGCGCTACCCTGCAGAGGGAAGTTCTGCCCAGAAGCCCACAACTCAGTCATGCCAAATCCTTTCTGGGGCCCCTACAGTTTGCTGGATTCAAAGCTGCTGCAAATCTGCCTGGAGAGCCCCCACCTGGCACCAGCAACACCCACCCCACTGGACACCAAGTGGAGAAGAGGCTCCTAACCCAGGGAGAGGCCTTGCAGGAGTCTGCTTGAGAAAAGGGGCTCAGGCCTGCACCCTGGGCGGGCCTTCCCATGTCTGCCAATGGTTAGCAGGGAGCAGCAGGAAGAGGGCCACTTCCTTAATTTGCTGACATCATGTGGCAATTTGATGTCATTTTGTTTGTTCCTTGGGGTTTGTGGACAGGCTGTGGTGAGCGGGATGGGTGTGGCCCTTTTCTCTCCACCATAGTCCAGGTGTGTCTATGTTCCCAAGGAGAACCGGGTCCCATAGGTTACATTTAAAGCCTATTTCTCACCATTGAATTCCATTTTCCTGTTGCTTTTCATTAAAGATGTACTCCGTGGGGCAGGGCGGGGCGGGGGGTGGGGTGGCCGAAGGACATTATTACCTCCCATTTGAGTAGTATACTATTTATTTCCATAGATTAGCTATCATTATCTACAGTTTACAGGAGCCTCAGGTTTGTTCATGGTCATGCCAGAGGGAAGCGGATGAGCCACAGGGCCCCTGCTTCTCAGTCTGGTGCGACGTCTCTTAACCTTGACGTTCACACCCATAGCCATGCCATTTGGGGCTTGAGTTGCAAGATACACGTTTCTGGGGAAACTTGACAAGTAGTTGGCGAGTAAACCACCAGATATGGTGCCTCTTTCCTGTTTTCCTGTCCAGTTCAAGGTTTGGTCTTCACAGTGTTAGTTAACCTATGACTGCACTGTTACAGAAATCCTCCCGATCCCTACCAAACTATCTGCAGAACCTTCCAGAAAGAGAACCAGCACGTCTCCTTGGTTCCCTTGCACTCTTCTGGGGAAGATGCTCCTCTGGCCAGAAGGGCTTGCTGAGTCCCTGATCCATGTCCTGCCCTGAGCTGGGTCCAGTGGAGGCCTGAGCAGGAAGAAAGGCCTAAGGACCTTCAAGGCATGGTGAGGACACGTTTCCAAGACTAGAACAATTCAGGGACTCTGAGGTTATTGTGCCAACTTGGGGGTCTGGGCCTTGAGCTGGAGGCTCATGGAAAGGGAGCTCCCCAGGGGGGCCTTACTATGAGTGCTGCCCAGGGCTCCTCCCCCCGAGTCTCGCCCTGACCATCTACCCACAAGATACGGGGTGCGGGCAGTTACTGGGTCCCACTGGAAGGAAGTCTGGCCCTGTGGCCTTGGGGGATGTGAGAAGGGAGCCGCAGGCCTGAGAGCTGTGGAAGAACCAGGGTGGGGGGGTGGTCTCCTCACTGGAAATATGTACAGAACCCGCCACTCAGCTGGGAGCTAGTGGGGGTGGGCTCGGTTCGGGAGTGTCTCAGCCGGTCCCCCAGGCTTTGCTCCCTCGAAGCCCTCCATTTCCTGACCAGCTCTAGAAACAAAACCAAAAAGAAGCTGAACAAGGAAGCACTGGCACAAAGAAAAACAGAAGTGGGAGCTTGGGGACTTGGCCCGCCCCAGTGGAGAGGCCCAAAGGCTTGGCTCCAGCCGGCCTCGGGTGCTGCCACCTGTGACCCGCTGCAGAGATGACCCCGCGGGCCCTGGCGCCTTGGCTGCCGGCGGCCCTGCTGCTCCTCTGTGTCCCAGGTGAGGGGCTGCCAGGGGAGGGTCGGCGGGAGGAGGGCTGTGGGAGGTGTTCCCTGAGCAACCCCAGCCTGGTGTCCCCGCTGAGCTCAGGATGGGGCGCACTCAGTCCACCAGGTGCGATGGACAGACAGAAGGACCACACTCCTAGAAGCAGGAGGAGCGAGGGGTGGGTGCGGAGGAGGGGCTTTCCTGGAGGTTGAGAGGCGGGGCACAGCAGGGGGTGCGAGAGTGGCCCCCCTGAGCACCGGAGGGGCTGTTTTGATGGGAAGCGCCCTCCTGGTTCACGGGTTCCAGGGTGTGGAGGAAGCGTGGGGGCTGGGCAGGAGCAGGCCATGGTCTCAGGGACACGGAGGTGTGCAGGCAGGGCCTCTTGAGAGGACAGGGCCCAAGGGCCAGCAGGGAGAGGGGGCAGAGAGGGAAGGCTGTGGGGAGGAAGCAGGGAAGGAGACTCTCTCCAAAGGGAAGGACCCCCTCCATTTATCTTCTGTGCCTCCTCCAACGGGTCCTGCAGTCGGGTTAGGTTTATTCCTGGAATATTTGCCATCTTTTTGGCTGCTTTGTTCATAAATGGCATGTTTTCTTCCATTCTATTTGCTAACTAGTTGTCTGTTGGAAAGCTATGACTTTCTGTGAATTAACTTGGAAACAAACAGCCTCCCACCACTGTTTGTCTACTGAGCCTCCCGGGTGTCCTCATGTTTTCAGGGGATGGATCCGTGGCCCGGAGAGCTCTCGGGTCCTCCCGAGACCTGCTCCTCTAGTTACTTTCTCTCACTGATTGCGAGCTGGCTAAGGACGCCCTGCGTCAAGGTGGCACGGTCATCCTGCCTTGTCCCTGACCAGGGCAGGTGTCCAGTGTGTCCCACTGAGTCTGAAGAATGCGTCCACTTGTGTCTATTTGCGAAGCATTTAAAGATCAGCAGCAGCAGATGCCGGATGCTTTTTCAACACCTGTGCAGATTATTGTACTTTCTCCTTTGAACTATTAAGGTGGTGAATTATATTAAGAGATTTGGCCAGATTTTAGTCTCAATATATCACACTGACTTCACGAAAAGAACCGGGGGATTTTCCTGTTCCTGTGCTCTCTGCAAATGCTTAAATGTAGTTGCAACGCTTTGTTGCTTGAAAGTTTGAGGGAACTAACTTGGGAAACGGGGTTTTGCTTCTGCTGCTTCTTTTTTTGAACATTTAAAAAAATTTATTTTAGGGAGGGAGGAAGGGAGAGAGAGGGGTAGGGGAGAGAGGACACATAAGAACAGGCCCAAAGAGGGGAAGTCAGACCCTGGAGACAGACAGGCAGGGCTGGGTGTTGTAGGTGGGGGTCCTGGGGTGACCCAGATGGGGGGGGGAGCCGGGACCCGGGCAGAGAAAGATGACAAGGCGGGACAGCTGAGGAGAGGCAGGGAAGAGAGCGAGGACGCGGGGCCGGAGCGTCGTCCTGGATGATGGAGGAGGGCCGGAGCGGACCTGCATTTATGAAGCGCTTGGTCTTCAGCTTCAGTGATTTGTGTTTTTCTAGCAGATCACACATTCGCCCAGTTTGCATGTTTATCTGTAGAGACTTTCTGGCAGTCCCCTCTTCATGCTCTGCATTTTCTCTGTATCTGTGGTTATTTTCTCTTTTCATTCCTTCATTTGGCTAGACAGAGGATTATCTATTTTTGTTAGATTGAATCACATGAATTTCCACTTTTTTGGTCAAAAACAGTTGGATATCAGCAGTTTCATATAGTTCAAGCTAATGTTATCTACCAGGCATTTTACACCCATTATCTCACTCAGTGCCCCAACTGCAAGGTGAGGCCTGCCAGTTCTCACCACTTACAGAGGAGGCGCCTGAAGCTCAGAGAGGTTACGTAGCCTGCCCCAGAACACACAGCTGATATGTCATAGAGCTGAGACACAAACCCAGATTCCTTTGATGCCCTTTTCACTTCACCGTCGCAATCATTAGTGAGCATCTCAGTAAGTGTCACACCTGTGACAGGGCCTTCTCTGCGGGCCATCTGCTCACCCAGGCCAGGGCAGAAGGTCCTGATGGGCGGCCTGTAGAGGGACTGACAGGAGCTGGTAGTTAGGGCACTATGGACATAGAGGTGCAATGGGGTGGGGGGGGGCGCACCCTGAAATATTACTTGAGGGTCCCTGGGGAGATCAGGGTGCTGGGGGCGAGTTCTTATGGTCCTGGCGAGTTTGGGGGTGGGAGGCCCCTGGTCGATGAGGGGTGGGCAGGAAAGCAAGAAAAGAGGTTAGGGTCTGGAGGAAAAGGCTGCTGTGATAAAAATATTGGGGTGATGGAGAGGAAGGGGGGGACTCTCAAGATGTGATCTGGCTGATGTGAAATGGGGAGACCTATGGGGTGACCTGGGGCTCCCCGACCCTGGCCCATGTGGTGAGGAGCCAGGACTCGACTGTGTCTTCCAGGCTGTCTGTCGCTGAGCGGCCCCAGCCGCGTGACGGGCACCGTCGGGGGATCCCTGAGCGTGCAGTGTCAGTACGAGGCGGAGTTCACTGAACATAAGAAATACTGGTGCAAAGGCCTATGTCCGACACTGCTGAAGAAGATTGTGGAGACCACAAAGTCAGGGAGAGAAGTGAGGAGGGGCCGTGTGTCCATCAGGGACGATCCAGCAAACCTCACCTTCACCGTGACCTTGGAGAACCTCGAAAAGGGTGATGAAGGCACATACTGGTGTGGGATCGATAGACCATGGCGAGAAATAGGTTGGGACGTCACCTTCAAGGTTCTGGTGTCTGTGATCCCAGGTGAGCCGCACGCACCCTCCCCTTGTCCCAGCTCCAGGCTGCCTGATCTGTACCTGGTCACCCCACTGGTCGGTCAGGACAGACGTGGAATGAAGAGCTGCGTGAGGTGGGGGCTCAGTGATTAGGACACAGTGTGTGGGTGTTGTGTTGTCTGGGCATGCACACACACACTCACACACACTCACACACACGCACACACACTCACACACACTCAC